CTAACGCCGTTCCGTCTACTGATTCTAAGTATTTTAAAAGTTGTCCCATGCCGGTATCAATGGTGGTTACATATAATAAGAAGTTCACATAGAAAAACGGTGGCACAAACTTACACATAACAATACAATATTTACATAAAATTGGCCAAAATGACGCTGAACGTTCGTTTTCCTTATGTATTGTATGTTAAAACTTAAAACAGTAGGTCATTCACATTTTAAAATTTAAAAATATCTTGCTGCATCATCTAATAATTTACACGCTACAAAGTTTTAGCTACTTTATGCATTTGTATTATTTAAATATTATTTAATCCAAATGTAGACACAATTAATAATAATAAAAAAAAGTTATAGGGTGTACACATTTTAGAATTTTTACTACTACAATTTTGCAGCCCAGCTTATATATTATTATTTGGTATCTATATAGTTATATTATATCATATTACATTGATTGAGGTCGGCCAAACTTCAGTTAGGTACAAGGTACAGACTTATATAAATTATTATCTACAGTTGTAAACAGTTAATACATGATTTTATCATATTTCTAACATAAAGTGACTTATCTAAAAAATTAAAACAAAATGTTACTATCTATCTATCTATGATTTTTGCTTTATACATTAAATAATTAGTTCAATGATACGAAATGTGTTATTTTAATTTTAGGTACTCAGAGTATATAGTATATATATTAAACTTAGATATGAATACTGTATAATTAACTAGATAAAAAGTACCTAATAATTAGACAATTCTCAAATATTTTTACTACATAATTTAATATATTTCATAGGTGTTTAGTGTTATCGACTTATCGTATAGGTGCACCAAATTCTCTTACTTTTGAGTTAAATGTGTAACAATAACTTATTATAACAGCTGGACGCTATTTAATTTCCTTGAATTATTGATACAAAATATAGTACTCTAACTTTATATAGGTACAGTGTTAACGTTTTACTGTAATTATCTCATTTTGAATTAGTATAAAAGTGTATGTAAACATTAAAAACTGTAAGTTAGGTGAATATTATAATGTTATATTATACATATTATACGATCTAGGATAAATTTATGTTTCAAATATCCAAGGAATTAAATATTAATCAAATACGACGTGTACTCGCGTTGATGGTTATAATAGCTAGGTACCTAGCTGTTTTATCAATATTTTTTTTTTATTAGATTATGTTTTATTCATATTTACTTGTCCTTTACTTCTAATTATTATTTTAATGATAACTTAGTGATGATGCCGATGTTAGACCGAATCGATAAACCGTTAAATTATTATTTTTATAATTATTTAGTAAGATGTACCATATGTATATCTATAAAAATATTAATTATCAATTTGTTTTTTGCAATGTGTATATATTAACTAAAACAAGTATGGAAAAATATAAAAGTAAAAATAAACAGAATAAAACGTTTGAATAACGGTAGGTATTTTCCTATTATCTCTATAGTATACCTACGATCTAATATAAATATGTATTATAATTTATAATTTTAAGGACATTTATAACTACGGAATTCCGGTATTCGACAAAAACGATTATGTTGTAATTTGAAAATGATTAACCATGCATATAGGTACATCAAATTTTGACCAAACATTTATAAATAAGAATTAATTAAAAATATATTTTGTTTCTTTTTTTGAAATAGGTATGGTTTTCAACTGTTGTGCTGCAAAATTTTTGAAATGTTTTTATAATAAAAATAAGTACTACACGTATATTTTAATTTTATTAAATTCAGGTTCAAATAAGACATATTGAAGAAAATTTGGGTAGGGGGTCCAGTCTGTGGTTTTAAAATGTATTATTTATAAGGGGCCCGGATTGGATGACTGACACCGCGGCGAAGCTGCGGTCATGACATCTTGACGCATGCACTCCCGGTTAATAGGAATTAACCTAAAGTCAGTATTACCATTTTGGAGAGTAACTAGTAACAGCAACAATAAAGACAACAACTAAGACAGCAGTAACACCAATTATATTGTGGCAGTAATTATACTACCCATAACAATAACAACAATAGTAATAACATTCTGGGAACATAATAACGTACTCTCATCGATCACGATCGACGCAAGCAGCGGAATCTCGCGGAGTCAAAGTTTCTCCGGCCATATTGCTGTATGCGCTCATAGAGTGCATTCGATGTATGGACTTCATCATTTTTTGCCAGTCAAAACAATATTTAGACAATAATAATAATATTAATCAATAATATTATGGGCAATGCTGAGGATCTATTTTGTTATTTTTGTACGCCGTACAAATGTAGTTCTCATGGACATTTTTCGTGTGAAATTGAAAATTCCGTGTTTTGTAACGTATTTCGTAAACTTATCGATTGACTTCCGAACATTTAATCAATAAGTAAATAAGTACATTTTTCTCATTGATCACAAAAATTTTATTCTTCAAATATATTATTGAAACTAGGATTTATTGTACGATACACCACATTATATATTAATTGATGGACCCAAGTGGGCTGTATTACAATGTGACTTGTATCCGGATTAAAATGTTTTTTGTTATTCATTATTAATAGTAATAATGATAATATTTATCGCTACCATATTAAAATTAATGTACAAAACATCTTATAAGCAAGAATTAATTAATTTTTGGTTCTCTTTTCAAAAGCAAAGCTTATGTGAAAAGAGTGAGTAAGTGATCAAAGTCTCAAGTGATTAAGAAAATGAAAAATAATACAAAAAATAACCTAACCTAACCTAACCTTATTAGATTCTTAATTAGTATTTAGCACTCCACATGTGAGATATTAGTAAATTGCGCTACACGACCTATTCAACCTTATTTCGGTGGATTGATGGAGGGGTGATTGTCAATAGGACAACATTGGCAAAATCACGACAACCTAACTTCGATCAAATACTAACATCATCAGCTTCTTAAAAGAAATTGAATTATATAAAGTAGTGTACAGATTCAGAATACATTTAAGGGAGGGGAGATACAATTTCATCCTAAGTCTAATAAAAACAGTGTAAATCCTATGTAAGCTAATATGTAAATATTAGTATTCGAATTTTTATTTTTCAGTTTAATTAGATAAATAAAATAAAATGTTAATAATTCTTAGGTCAAATAAACATTCTAAGTGACATATTATATTAATGAAATATAATTACACTTTAAATACAAATAATAATTGACACAACATTTTATGGCTTTTATATAGAACAATTTTAATGTACTTTTAGTGTACTTTAGTGTATTTAAGTGTATCTTATTCTACAAATAAACCTGATTTCGGGTAGGGAAGCAGTGGTGGGGTCGAGATAACACCGGTCAGTTTTTGTACTATAGCATTTCAGATTAGACGGCAACCGATAAAAACGGACACCGCCGAAACGCGATCGGCAAGACAATGTATGTTATTAGCCCGCCGAAAACATTAGACATTCTAGAATTCTCCAGAGTCTACGGGGGTGGGGGGGGTCGACCCTTGACCCCCCACCTTGGATCCGCGCCTATACTATGAGATATATATTATAATGTAAACGTATAGTTGTAAAGGTAACTACGAAAAATGTCCAATTCTAATTGCTGCCAGATAGTTTTTTTGTGTTACATCCTAGTTGTGACGTGATTAATATTTTCCATAATATTGATCATACCTTTTTATAAGTATAATATTATCATTTCCCATTCAACGACACTGCTAGTCCCCAGAAATAAAACCAAATTGACAAACTTGAATTGATAAAAATAATTTCATAGCAGTTTTATTAACGCTATAATAATATTTTTTTATAAACAAGACAACATTTTTAGATGAAAATAGTAATACTATTGCTACAGACAATCCTAAATCCAATTAAAAATTTGAAAGAAAATTAAGTTTGGGATAAATAATTTTTTATTTAAAAAATGTTTGATTAGTCTGTACGTTAAGAAAAACCTTGACCTCAATTCTTATATTTTACGCTAAAAAAAGTGGCTCGAATTTCATGTACCAAAAAATAAACTCCTGCCTCAAATCGGAAGAAATTTTTACCGCGAGACGCATCTAGTTGTAACACTTTTCTCTTTCCCACAAACTCTCTCAAAGTATTACCCTCTCCACCACCCGTCACCGACACCCATCGTATTTTTGGTACTGTTTGACTATGATACAACATACCTAATTTTACATCTCCCATCTTACCAACCACCCTTTTTAAATGTAGATTGAAAAATAGGACGCACCGTAGCCCCGCATGAACAAAAATATTTTTAACACCAAAAGTCCGCGTGCCATGTCAAAACAAATTGCGAAAAAAAATATTTTATAAAATAACGATGATTCGTGTGCAGATACGGTTTTCTCGGAATGTAATAAGTAGGGACGTTTGTTTGAACACCGTGTCCAATCTCAAAAACGACCACACCCACCTCACCACAACTGCTGACGACAGAGTTATTCACACTACCGATATCCGCACAGACGTTTATTGTGGTATAATTTTAACGACATACAATAAAGTTACGCAATCATAATGTCAAGAGTTTTGATTTACTACCGGAAAATTTTCAACTACTACAATTCGGAAAATGTTGAGCCAGAAGAATCTACACGAGAGCGGGAATCGTCACCACCGGCGATACATATACCAGGTGTTGATAGTCAAATCAATGCCCTAAGAACTAGGTGACTTATTTATTTATTTATTTATTTATTTTATTTTTATTTTAATACGGGCTGCAGCTAAAAAGTACAGAAAATAAATTTACATATTATAAGTGAATTCAATGTGTAGTAGACATAATAATTAATATAGAGAAAGGAAAGAATACAAAAGAAAAGAATTACAGAACTTAACTTAAAAACTAAAAGACGGATCCTCATTAGCAATACGCATCATCCTATTTAGTGGGTTGTTTCGTGAATAATTTGTCGTACACAGTGGTATACTGAAAGGATAGGAAGAACGGACCTGGCCACAGGGAATTTTAAAGTTTACTTTAGAATTTAGATAGAAGTTCAGGACAGTCGATCGACCCATTGATGAGCTTGACTAGGAAGACTTTGTTAATGGTGATACGTCTATCGGCCAAAGACTGTAAGCCTAGCCTATCTATTACTGGATCATAATCATGAGGTTTATGTTCGATATTTAATAGATATGCTGCAAAGCTCAAAAACTTCCGTTGGACTCTCGACTTATGCATGATTATAATATTATTAAGATGACATTGAATCACCATGACGTGTACCTAGCTATAAATGTTAAGTCTGTTGAGTGTTGACTGTCTTTTAAATGTACATATTGAGCACAGTGGCGCCAAAGTCCATGTTTATGTATGGCAGCTTATAAACATTTTGTTGGGGGGGGGGGGGGTCTTTAGGAGAATAAAAATATGAAAATTTATAGGAATAGGATCAAAAATTATTAATTAATATTGCCCAATGAGAGTAATGGCAATATTAATATTGTATACATAATATTATGATATAATATAAAATGTTGCATTTTGTTTATATTTTTGTATTTTGTACTGTCGTTAAAGGTAATTAAATATAATTTTAATAATTATATTACATACGTATTGACTGAAAAAAGAAGAGATATACAATCAAAAATAAAACAATAAGATAAAAGTGGGTGGCCAATTGTTTGTGAAGGGTTTTAAATTTTCATTCGAGCTGTACAGTGCCCCGGGCATTGAAATTCCCTGCGGGCTGCGTTCTGATGTAAATATAAATTATCAGATATTAATTTAATACAGATCCAAAACAGATGGGTCTCATCACCATATCATTATTCGTCAAAAACGTAAACTTTAGGTGTATCACACCTTGGTTTTTACCCATCCTTCATGAACGAATATACCTATATATTATAGGCCTTGACTCATTTATTCGTACCCTTGAATACGACACGTCCGACATAGACAAAACGCGTTTACGCAGTCTGAGTAGAACAGTTTTGACACTAGAGTAAAAGTACTTATAGTAAAATTGAATTGTGGCATTATGTCTGATAGCAAGACGATACATTTTTTCCATTATTCCCAATATAACGTTCATTATATCGTTTGAAAATATCGAAGATCTAAACATTTTTAAACTACCTTTAATTATTTTCAAAAAAAAAACTCACCATCTTGCACTCCAAAATATTGTCGTATTTTAATTTTGTAATAGGTGTTTTTATTTTAACACTAACATTTAGTGTGACATACTTAGACTGCGTAAACGAATTTTGCTCATACGGGTCAATAGTTCATATAATCGTGAATTCAACCAATGATTCAGGTTCATCAGTAGGCTTAGAATCGAACTATCTCTGAGGTTCCTAAAAAATAAATAACGGCTAACAACCAGTGTTGGTGTATATTTTAATTTTTTAAAGAAAAAAAAAAAACTTTAAACTGTATTCTTTGTTTGAAATATTGTATATTTAAAATTACTTAATTTTAATATAATAATATAATATTATTTAATTTACTTATATGCCAATATGCCACTTACTAGTATAATTATGTATCACTGTTTATTCATTATTTTAATATTAAAAGTATTTGAAATGTATTTTAAATATTAATTAATTAATTGTTAATTTAACATTTTAAATTTAGTGTTCAATAAAATTAAAAAAATGAATTAAAATTAAGAACGGTTATAGAAATAATTGTTTAATGCATTAACATTTTTTCTGAAGGATATCTATTATTATTTATGATTAATAATAAATAAAAAAAAACACAATTTTCACTTGGATTTTACACTATTTTAACATATTATTATGTTTTATTCGTTTTAAACAATGAAAATAAAACCGTTAAAAACAAATGTATTAATTTATGTTTTAAAAATGTTTAAACATTGTGTTTTATAAGCATAAAAACCTTACAGTAACAATCACTAAATACACCCCTCAAAAAAAAATTTCACACATAGCTACTACATTTACCAATGAGTGGGTTACAGATTATAAAAGATGAACCATTAAAGTTTTTTGTACCTATGTTTGTAATTACTCAATATTAATGAAATGTAAAGAATATACTTATAACTTAATAATTTTTCAATTACAAACACATTACCTATGCATTTATAATTGAAATGTTTGTTTCTTGTTTGTTTTTCTTTAAAGGCAGATCGAGAACAATTTTATACACCGCATGATCCAACCAGGTTTTTACGGCTTCGACCGAGCCGATTGAATTACTATTACTGTAAATTTTTATTTTCGTCGAAATATTGTTTTCTTGTGGCGTCTATAAGGTATGTATGTACATATTATAATTTCACATTTAGAGCACATTGTCAGTAGCAGCTGGAAACCGTTGTACCAACCGATTCGTAATAATACACAACTATACCTACGTGGTCTTCCTATCAATATGAATTTTTTTCAACCAACTAATTTTAATCAATTATAATATTTTCTAAGATATTATGTCTAAATTGAATTATATAATAATTATACACACTTCAATGTATGCACAATTAATGTTTAAGTACAGTTAGACCGTGCCCTATGGTAATATATTAATTTTTAAAATTAAATAAATACCCTTGAGTTGTAAAATGTTTTAAGTTTATTTTTCAATCAATGATAAATACTTAATCCTTCTCAATAATTTTACTCAAAATAGTACAATGCAAGTTATATTTTGAACGGAGCTGGGAGCAATGAATGTGTATAATATGTGTTTTTTTCCGTCCCTAAAATTTTTTTCTAGAAAAAAATAATAATAATACAATGCTTCGATTTTCAGTTTCAGCATCTTTTCTGATAGGAAAGTGAATCTAGTAGGTATTTTAAGAGGTCAGCGTTGAAAATTAGCAGTAGTTTTTTACCTACTTGTAAAATTAATTAGGTAGATAAAATGAAATGTAATTTAAAACAGGTGGCCAATGGTAGGTAGGTACTGATTTACTGCAGTACAGTACCGAGGTGTCAACTATCGAGTGAGTCCTGCAATGAACAGGGTGTTGAATTTTAATTCAATATATATTATTGCATACGAAAAACTATTCTAAACAGCATGTAATATCAAATATATTTCATAATATGTATTCCTTATTGATAATTAAAATAATTTTTTAGCTACCTATACCAATAGTAGGTACCTATTATGGTTTCGACAGATTTAGTTTTCGCCTAAGAACGTTGCATTTATTTCCATATATGAAATAAATATTTATGTAATATGTACATAGTCATATTTCCAGGTGGATTTGGAAATGTTGGAATATAATTATTTATCGGATGCTCGTTAGAATTTTCATCATTTTATAGTCAATCATTGACTTTCATTATACCAATTACACAATTTTAATACAGTACTTCAGGAGTCGTTTATTAAAATTTGACCTATTCTTTGCTTTTCAGTATTTGATAATGTTTTTTAGCTTTATTGAAATTATCTAAAAACAAAATATTAAATTAAATTAGGTAGGTACATACGTATTTTCGATATTATAATTGTAAATTTATAATACATGTGATTTGTTATTGAAAATAATAATCTCAGCATATTGTATAACTTATAGAAAGATAAATCACTGTAGGTAATATCATTCTAAATAATAATTATTATCCTAAGTCATTTAGGCTGAACGACCGTCTCCACTAGGAATCATTTTTCGTTATGTAGTAATGTAGATCTATAATTGAATTCATGTATAACACGCCCGTTTCAATGACCTACTCAATATCGATAGGTACACTTCACAGTTTAATACCTACTATACAGCAGAGCAAATTCCCCGATTTAACACACCCATAACAATGACGAGGTACGCTTGGCGGTTTGATATCTTCTATACAGCAGAGCAAGTTCTCCGGTTTTAGATTCTGAGTGAAACGATGAATGTATTGATTTTACAATGATGTGTGTTTTTATATTTTTTTTTTATTTTTTTATTTTTTTTGTGTCTGTGTACACGATAAGTAGTCGAAATAATGCTTCGATTTTCGACTTCAGTATCTTGTTCGATTGGAAAGTGAATATCGTTGGTGCTTTGGGTAGGTCAAAATTTAAAATTCCCAGTACTTTTCAAAAGCGCTGGGAAAAACAACATAAAAATTAAGGAAAAACAGGAATTTTTACGCAAAATCGGTTTTCCGAAAAATCGGTTTTGGTTGTTTTGTAACATTAAAACAAATAACCGTAGACACTTGAAATTTTCACTGGTTGTTTATATTTTCATTTTCTATACACTATAACATTTTCAAAATATTTTGATTTATTTTGAACTGTTTAGGGACATTTTCATTTTCCATTTTTTTTTTAGTTTTTTTCCTAAAAATATCAATAAAATTTTATTTGTTTGTGTTGAAAGTGAAGCTTGACGGACTAATGATGTTAGCATTAATATAATAAGTAATAACACGACAATATGATTATGTATAAGTATAATATATAATAACGTACAACTGGACAATTAAACTGTGACTATACACACACACCGCGTACACTCGGTATGACAGCGTCTGTGCAAGTGAATATTACATACATCAAAGGCCCTATATATATGCACGACCGAGGTCATGTTACATCCGTGAGAGAGTGAGTCTTATGCTCGTACATAACTAGTTACTATATTGTACACACGTGTCAAGGCTGACTACATGTACTACATATTAATTGTATATTTCAACACCCTCCCTCAATTAATAATCTCTTTAATTGTAGTCACTCCTATGGCTGACCGCAACTTCTCGAATCGTTCCTTAACCAAAGGCTTGGTTAGAATGTCCGCAATCTGGTCCTCTGTTCCAATGTACTGTAGTTGGAATTGTCCCTCTTCGTATTTCTCCCGTATGAAGTGGTACCGTACGTCTATATGTTTTGTCCTCTTATGAAACTCCGGATTCTTAACTAAACGTATAGCACTCTGATTATCTATAAATAAAACTGGTTGTTTGTCACCTGTTGTCGATAAGCTTGTTATCAACCGTGTAATCCACAAGATCCCTTTGACAGCTTCACTGGCCGAAATATATTCAGCCTCTGTCGATGACAATGACACACAATGTTGTCTCTGCGATGTCCATGAAATTATGCTTGACCCGTACCTGAATAGAAATCCTGACGTTGAACGTCGTGTCTGAATGTCACCTGCGTAATCTGCATCGCTAAATATTTCTAATGACAATTTTGTTTTGTTATTAAAGTACAAGCCATAATTAAATGTTCGCTTGATATATCGTATA